TGCCACCATGCCTGGCTGATTTTTGTATTTTTTAATAGAGACAGGGTTTCACCATGTTGGTCAGGCTGGTCTCAAACTTCTGACCTCAGGTGATGCACCTGTCTCAACCTCCAAAGTGCTGGGATTACAGGCACGAGCCACCGTGCTCAGCGTCTTTCTCAGCATTAAAGCGTCAGCTTTGTCCAAGGTTCAGAGAGCCGCTGGCCTGGGTGTGGTGCTGGAGAAGTCTTGGAGCTTGGGCCCTGGGGCACCCTGCAGTCCTCTCCAGATCAGGCGATGTCCTCTCTAGGTCAGGCGATGCAAGGGTCACGTCACCTCTGACTCCAGAGGCACTTCCTCTTCGGGAGAAGAAAGAAGGTTTGTTCATTCATTCATTCACCCCACAAACACAAAATACCACCACTCCCCACCCCACTACAGCTGGGTGGGTCATGTGACTCGATGCGGCCACTGAATGTGGAGGGGTCACCACGTCCCTTCGCCTGCGAGATCACCACCTCGGTCTGCCCCACAGAAGCCCCCCGTGGCCCAAGGCCCCGAGCCTGTCCCCAGATGCCGGCTTTGGCTCCTGCTGCCTGTAGACTGATCAGGCGGAGGTGAGACAACCTCGGTCCAGGCCGTGGGCTGGAGGGCAGAGTGCACAGCATGGCGTCCCCGGGGCTCCCCAGCCCCAGCCGGCATCGGCACCAGTCCTCACACCATCACGGGCTCCTGGACAGAGGCTGAGTAGCATGGTCTTCTCACTTCTGGAGTGTGGTTTCCCACCTGGTGTTTTCGGACACAGTTTCATGTGCCATTTAGAAATGCACCATCAGGGGAAGGCTCTTTGCATTGGCAGCTCCGGAAGAGACAGAGGCTTCCCTTGATGAAGGGCGTCTGTCCTATGTGCTTCTCAGAGACTTTACGCAGGGATGCAAATCTCGACCCTCCAAGCAGACGAGGGGTAGGCAGTGTGTCCTAAGCAATCTGACCATGCACGCTGTTCCCAAGCACACCCATGACAGTGCCTTCTGGAAGGTGGGAGAAGCCACAGCCCCTGCTGGGGTCCAGTGCACCAGCCAGCTGGGCTGGGTGAGGCTTCAGTGACCACCCCAGGCCCCCAGGGCTGCCGTCCACAGCAGCGGCTGCCGTCCTGTCTTTTCTTCCTGACCCTAACGGCCCACACTGTATGTGACCACTCTGGGTCCAGCTGGGCCGGGGCCAAAGCCAAGTTGAGTCACAGGGTCTTTCCAGACCCCCTAGGCTCGATGGCATCGGAAATCAATGTGGGGTGAGCTGTGGGTCACCCCATCAATCCAGCACACAGGTAACCTCCAGGCTGGGTGGGGGGCATGGGAGCTCATGCAGAAGGAAGGTGCCAGATGCACCCATGAGTGCCAGGAAGGGGCAGCCACACAGGGGGACTGTGCTCCACCAGCCCCGGAGCCCTGCTTGGGAGCTTTAAGGCACACACCACCACGTGGTGTGGCCTCCGGGCTTCCTGGGGCATCGGAGAATGAGGCCAGAGGTCCCCCAGTGCCCAGCACCTGTGGCCTGCATGCTGGTGGGCATACACAGGGTCCGATGCCAGGGGTGGCCTCAGGGATTGAGCCCCCCGAGGGCTTCCCATGAGAGGCTGGCTCTTTGGGGCCCATCTGCAGAGCGCTGGGCCTCTCCCCTGCTGAGGCCGCTCTGGTCTCTGCTGAGCTGCAGGTAGTGCGTAGGGACCGGGGACTCAGATGGACACAAGGGGTTTCCTGTCCGGTGGCCTCCACCGGGGCACCCGCCCTGGACAGAACCTCCTGCAGCCTCCACCAAGGCTGGGAGCTCCCCGCCTTCCAGGAGGCCATCCCTTCAAGCCTTTAGAAAACTGCCCTTCCCAATCACTCGAGGTCAGAAGTTTGAGACCAGCCTGGCCAACATGGTGAAACCCTGTCTCTACTAAAAATACAAAAATTAGCCGGGCGTGGTGGTGCATGGCTGTAATCCCAGCTACTCAGGAGGCTGACGCAGGAGAATCACTTGAACCCCAGAGGTGGAGGTTGCAGTGAGCTGAGATCCTGTCGCTGTGCTCCCGCCTGGTGACAGAACAAGATCCTGTCTCAAAAAAAAAAAAGAAAGAAAACCACCCTTCCAGGAGCTCCCCGCTTTCCACTTGTGCAGGCGGGAACAGCACCACAGGGGCAGGGGAGGCTGGGTGTGGGGCTGGGGTCAGGGGAGGGAGGGCCGGCTCCCTTTAATCACTTTCAATCCAGTGAGTGCCTTAAAAACAAAGCTTTTTGGGCCGTGCACGGTGGCTCAAGCCTGTAATCCCAGCACTTTGGGAGGCCAAGGTGGGTGGATCATGAGGTCAAGTGATCGAGACCATCCTGGTCAACACGGTGAAACCCCGTCTCTACTAAAAATACAAAAAATTAGCTGGGCATGGTGGCGCGTGCCTGTAATCCCAGCGACTCAGGAGGCTGGGGCAGGAGAATTGCCTGAACCCGGGAGGCGGAGGTTGCGGTGAGCCGAGATCGCGCCATTGCACTCCAGCCTGGGTAACAAGAGTGAAACTCCGTCTCAAAAAAAAAAAAAAAAAACTCTTTGGAATAAAAGGAGAAGCAATCAAGAACATTTTACTCAATCACAGGGAAGTGATTTCACTGTCTTCATCAGCATTCTCTCCCTTCACTTTTTTTCATTAAAAAAACCAAAGAGGGCCGGGCGTGGTGGCTCAAGCCTGTAATCCCAGCACTGTGGGAGGCCGAGGCGGGTGGATCACGAGGTCAAGAGATCGAGACCATCCTGGTCAATATGGTGAATCCCCGTCTCTACTAAAAATACAAAAAATTAGCTGGGCATGGTGGCGCGTGCCTGTAATCCCAGCTACTCAGGAGGCTGAGGCAGGAGAATTGCCTGAACCCAGGAGACGGAGGTTGCGGTGAGCCGAGATCGCGCCATTACACTACAGCCTGGGTAACGAGAGCGAAACTCCGTCTCAAAAAAAAATAAATAAATAAATAAATAAAAAATAAAAGATAAAAATAAAAAAACCAAAGAAACCATTAAAACAGCTTTGAAGTTCTACAAACCTTGAGGTGCTAGTCCCGGCCCCAACCCCCACCCAGCCCTCAGGCCACGGTGGACGCTGCGATTGCACTAATGAACCTGCAGACACCCTGGAATCAGCCACCACAAGACACGCCCTCTCCATTCTGGAGACACAGGATATTACAATGTCACAGCCCCTCAGTGTCCTCCTGGGAGGAGGCCTCAGGCACTGGGCAGCCTCCGCTGGCGAGCCTCCCTGAGATGCCTCTGCTCCTGGGCCAGCAGCTGAAGGGCCATCAGGCTGCTCCTGTGTGGTGACCCTTCATGCGGTACTTGCAAGAGGAAGTCACCAGGCCCAGCCCACACTTCCAGGGCGTCACCTCCTGCCCACAGGTCTTCTCCCACTGTCCCCCGCCCCCATAATAGTCCTGCGGCTCCAGCCCTGCCCAGCGGTCCTCCGCCCTCTGCTCTGAAGCCCCCAACTTCCCTCCAATAAAGTCCCCCTTCCAACCCACCCACACCTCCCACAGTGCCCCTCTGCCCACCCCGCCCTCCTGCACCCTTTCCTGCCCCACCTTCCATCCCCCACTCTGAACCTACCCCTCCCAGCCCCTAACCCCCCACCTGCCCTGACATTCCCCACCCAACACCCCTTACCCCACCCTTCCCTCTTTGTTTATCTCCCCACAGCTGCCCCCATCCCTGGGGCTCCAGGCTGAGCTCCCAAGCCCCTCCCAAACACCAAGCTCCTGAACACCCCCATCTCCTCCTCACCATCTACCCCCACCCCTCCCATCCTGACTGACCCTGAGCTTCCTAAGGCCCATCCCCACCCCATTTGCACCCCTGTCCTGCCCCAAAGGCCACCTCCATTGAAACCTCATCACACCTCCACTCCTGCTGTCACCCGCCGCTCCTTTCCCTACTGAGCCCACCCCTGAACGCCCACCCTACCCTATCGTCACCCCCGTCCTGCCAGAGGACCACCTCCCCTGAATGCCCCGTCTCCAACTCACCATCCACCCCACCCCCACTCCCTTCCTAATCCCTGGGCACAGCTCCCTGAGCCCCATGAGCCACCTGCCCACCCTGCCCTCAGGGCACCTCCACTTGGGCCTCATCCACCCACACCTCCACCGGCCCCGCCTCCACCCCTCCGCCCACCCGCACATCACCCCTGCCCACCGCCTCCCAGGGCACCTCCACCCTCATCCCTTTCCCACCTTTGCCCTGAAGCCCACCCGCGTGACCTTCCCAAGCCCACCCCTGAGTGCCCTGTCCCAACCCCACAGCCACCCCACCCTCCACCAAGGGCGCCCCCTACTGAAACACCCCTCATCCGCCCCATCCCCAATCCTCCCATCTCCACCCTTCCCCTGAGCCCCATCCCCCACTGAGGTCCCTAGACCCCACCCCTCACTCCACCCGAAGGGCCCCATTCTCTGTACCCCAATTCCCCAGCCCCGCTGAGTGCTTAACCTACCCTACCTGAGGGTTCCCTCCCCACCGCGAACTTCCCAGCTCCCCACCCCAGCGACCCTCCAGCTCCGGGCCCCTCCCACTCCACTCCAGCCCTGAAGGCTGCTCCGCCCCCGCCCTTCCCCGCCCCCGCAGACACGCCCAGTTTCTTCACCCCCACAGCCAGGAGCCTTCTGGCCCCCTCTGTCCCTAGTGGGCCCGGATCCTTCCAGCTGGTTCTTTCCCTGCACCATTCCTGGTTCCATGGCCCGCTCCTCCCTTGGGACCCGGCGCCTGGAAGACCCGGACGGCTGTAACCTTGAACCCGCCTGCTGCCTCTACCCGGAGCCCTGGCAGCAGCCCTGTGAAATCGGTGAGTCTCTTTCTCCCTTTCCCTGGCTGTCTTGCCTTTGAGGGTGCGGCTGGCCAAGACCATCCCCAGGGGTCCCTGCTGGCGTGGGGGACACTGGGAGGCTGGAGGATGGGTGTCCCTGGGGGGTCGAAGGCCGGGCCAGAGGACATCAGGGGCTGCAGCGGCCCTTGGCCCCCTTCCTCATGAGGCCCCTGCCCTCCCCTTTCTGGGGAGAAGTGAACCACCCGTCCTCCAGGTGGTGACAGGGCCAGGCAGGGTGCACACCACAGGGGACCCTCGAGCCCCTCTCAGTGCTGGCAGTGGCCTCGGCCTTCCTGCCCCTCGTCCCTGGTTGAGCAGGTGGGTGTCACTGGGGGTGCAGGTGGCCTGAGCGGGGCAGGGTCTGCTTGACAAGCTGCTTCCAGTGCTGGGGTGTGTCAACGGCTTTCTCCCTTCTGTGTCTGCGTGTCCTGTGTCCCGGCGCGGCAGCCACCCCAGCCCTGGACCTGGAGGCCGAGCCCAGCATGGATGTGATCTTGGTGGGATCCAGTGAGCTCTCAAGCCCCGTTCCCGCGGCCACAGGCAGAGGTGAGGGCTCATCTGCTTATTGGATCGGTCTCGTAGGATTCGGCCCCCAGGCCTGGAAAAGGTCTGGAGTTCCAGGTTTTTGGAATGTTCATGCATTTTTCAGATACCCCCAGCAAGGGCAGGAGGTTCCCCACCCACAGCCTTCCCCCAGGCCAGGCATTTAACACACCAAGATAAGGTGTGGGGGAGGGGTGGGAGAGGTGCTCAGGCTCCTGTGACTTCGGACAATGAACGAGTGATGCTCCCTTCTTGGCTGTATTTAAATGAAGAGATCAGAGGAGGAAGGAAACGGGCTACTTCTTATCTTCTTTTCCAGAGCTTATTGCATATGAAGTCAAGGTGAACCAGCGGAACATAGAAGGTGAGTGGAGTGTTTGCACGCTTACCCACAGCCCGGTGAAAGAGGCCGGCACAGTGGCTCATGCCTCTAATCCCAGCTCTTTGGGAGGCTAAGGTGGGAGCATCACTTGAGCCCCAGGAGTTTGAGACCAGCCTAGGCAACGTTGTGAGACTCTGTCTCAATAAAAAAAGAAAAAAATAACCAGGCATGGTGACATGAGCCCGTAGTCCCAGCTACTCATGAGGCTGAGTTGGGAGGATCGCCTGAGCTGGGGACATGGAAGCTGCAGTGAGCCATGCCAACACCACAGCACTCCAGCCTGAGAGACAGTGAGATCCCGGGGAAGCCAGAGGGCCCATTATGCCACTTGTACCCCTTCTCCCCCTCCCAAGGCCCCTGAAGCTTCATTTAAAGCATACAGTTCGAAGTATTTCAGTTTATTTACAGAGGTAGCAACCATCATCACTACCTAATTTTAGAAGATTTTCATCACCCCCAGAAGAAAATCCCGATCTAGTACTGGTCACTCTGAACCCCGGCTCCCGTTTCCCCTCTGTAGCTCTAGGCAGCCACTCCTCGACTTTGTCTCCATGTGCGTTTGCCTTTTCTGGAGCCCTCGAATTTCCAAATGGATTTAGGATCAGACTGTCAACTCCTGCCAAAAAGCCAGATGGGAATTAGGGAGGGGTCTGCAAATCCATTTGGGGACTCATGCTCTTTTAACAACATTAAGTCTTTTTTTTTTTGAGACAGAGTCTCACTCTGTCCCCTAGGCTGGAGTGCAGAGGCATGATCTTGGCTCACTGCAACCTCCGTCTCCCAGGTTAAAGTGATTCTCCTGCCTCAGCCTCCCGAGTAGTGGGAAATACAGGCACCCGTCACCATGCCCAGCTAATTTTTGTATTTTCAGTAGTAACGAGGTTTCTCCATGTTGGCCAGGCTGGTCTTGAAGTCCTGAACTCAGGTGATCTGCCCACCCCAACCTCCCAAAGTGCTGGGATTACAGATGTGAGCCGCTGCACCCAGCCAATATTAAGTCTTCTGATCCATGAACATGGGATAGGTTTCCATTTTGTTCCATCTTCCTTAGCATCTTTCTTTCTTTCTTTTTTTTTTTTTAAAGACAGGGTTTCTCCATGTTGGCCAGGCTGGTCTCAAACTCCTGACCTCGCTCGCCTCAGCCTCCCAAAGTGCTGGGATTATAGGTTTGAGGCACCACGCCCGTCTTCCTTAACATCTTTCTTTCTTTTTTCGAGATGGAGTTTTGCTCTTGTTGCCCAGGCTGGAGTGCAATGGTGCAATCTGGGCTCACTGCAGCCTCCGCCTCCTGGGTTCAAATGATTCTCCTGTCTCAGCCTCCTGAGTAGCTGGGATTACAGGCACGCACCAGCAGCCCGGCTAATTTTTGTATTCCTTAATATCTTTTAACCATGTTTTGCAGTTTTCAGTGTATAAGCCTCACGCTTGTTTGGCTGAATGTATTCCTAAGTCTTCTGCTGCATTTGACATCACCGTAAAACACCCTGCACTTTGAATGTTTCCTTTAGAGATCTGCCTCTGCTGCGGAAGCTTCCAGGTTCACACGCAGCACCCTCTGTTTGAGGGAGGGATGTGCGCCCCGTGTAAGGTAGGCAGGGAGGCTGGGTGTGACTCCCTCACGGCCTCAGAGCAGGGAGGACACAGGCCCGCCTTGCTTCGCTCCTCCCAAGGACAAGTTCCTGGACGCCCTCTTCCTGTACGACGATGACGGATACCAATCCTACTGCTCCATCTGCTCCTCCGGGGGCACGCTGCTCATCTGCGAAAACCCCGATTGCACCCGGTGAGGCCAGGGCCCTGCTTGGTGGGGGGGTGAAGGGTGAAGGAGCCACTGCCAGGAGCTGAGGACACATCCATCCTTTCAGCTACTCATTCTGGAGTGTGGGTGGCTTTTCCTCCCAAAGGGATGATTTCCCTGGAAGCTTCCGGCTTCTGCCTGAGATGTGTTCCTCTTGGGCATAGAGCCCTGACGTACGAGAGTCGGGTGTCTGCAGCTGGCACTTGCGATTTTTCATGCCAGTATTGGTATCGCCTCAGTACTGCGCAGTCATGGAAACCTCACACCCAGGCTGTCAGTCAGGGTGACGGGGGGCATGTTCAGCCCTCAGCCATTACCCCCCAGCCCCGGCTCCATCTGCCGGCCCGTCCCCTCTGTCCTGGGCCATCCTCGTTTTTACAGCTCCCCCCACCTCAAGTTCTCTCCCCCCAGCTGGTTTTGCTGGGAGTCCCTATGCTGTTTCCTCAGGCTCCAGAGTTTGGGGGCAGACAGGTGACTTAGGGGGTTCCTTGAGATCTCCCATTGCCTATGAGCCTACCTCCCTGTCCTCTGCACCCGGCTTGGCTCCTGTCACTCTGCGTCCCTAGGAAGGACCGTGTCCCCCTTGCCAGGTCTACCACCTGGCCTTCCCAGAGTGAGCTCCAGCACGACTTTTCCCTCCGAAGCAAGGCTCAGGCCCACCTCTGCCATCCTTGGCACATGCGGGCTGTCATGTCCGCCGCTGTGGTTTTCTGTCTGGCCCTAGATGCTACTGCTTCGAGTGTGTGGATATCCTGGTCGGCCCCGGGACCTCGGGGAAGGTGCACGCCATGAGCAACTGGGTGTGCTTCCTGTGCCTGCCCTTCTCCCGCAGCGGGCTGCTCCAGCGCCGGAAGAAGTGGCGCAGCCACCTCAAGGCCTTCTACGACCAGGAGTCGGTAAGGAGCCCTAGGGGGGCAGGACCGTGGAATGCCCGCGGGGGGCAGGACCGTGGAATGCCAGCGCGCCTGGGCAGCACCGCTGCAGGCTTCACAGCAAACACTCTTTCCGGGTTCCTCTGACAGCAGCTCCCACTCAGTGGTGGCTTTGAGTAAATGGCTTTGGTATGGCAGTTTTGTTTCTTCCAAGCCTAGGAACGAGGCTCTGGTAGCAGGTGGGAGAGGGCCAGGAGGGGGTGGCTGGCACGTCCTCAGCATGTCTCAAAGTCCAGCCCCCAGGAGCAGACGCCCTGGCCGATGCTAGCCAGATGTGGGCCCTTCTTGAGAGTCCAGCCGAGGAGCCAGGGGCCCAGGCTGAGAGGGTGGAACTGTGTCCCCTGAGATCTTATCTGGAAATAGGGCCTTTGCCCTATTGATTTAGTTGAGGGTCATGAAATGAGGTCATTCCGGACTTAGGGTGGGCCCTAATGCTGCGACTAGTGTCCCCATAAGAGATTTGGGGCGTGGAGACAGGGAAGACAGCCACGTGGTAATGGAGGCAGAGACCGGAGTGAGGCATCCACCAGCCGTGGTGCCAGCAGCCCCAGGAGCTGGGGGAGAGGCCGGGCTCATCTCCTCTGCCGGCCAGCATGCTGTGACTTCAGACCTTTGGCCTCCTGAGCTGCAAGAGAACCATTTCTACTGTGCCAAGTCCCCTGGTCTGGTTTTGTTTTTTGGTTTTTTGGCTTTTTTGAGACAGAGTTTTGCTCTTGTTGCCCAGGCTGGAATACAATGGCACCATCTCGGCTCACCACAACCTCAGCCTCCCAGGTTCAAGTGATTCTCCTGCCTCAGCCTCCTGAGTAGCTGGACTTACAGGCACGCGCCACCATGCCCGGCTAATTTTGTACTTTTAGTAGAGACGCGGTTTCGCCATGTTGGCCAGGCTGGTCTCGAACTCCCAACCTCATGATCCACCTGACTCAGTCTCCCAAAGTGCTGGCATGCCAGGCATGAGCCAATGCACCTGACCCCACCCCCCAGTCTGTTTAAGTTTGCCCACCACCCACAGGAAGCTCCTCTAGAAGGGGTGTGGCTCTCAGTGAGGCAGCCAGCGGGGAGCAAGGCACCCCTGAGCTAAGGTGAAACTGCACCGGCCTCCAGCTCACATTCTGAAGGTTGAGCGAAGTCATCTCTTCCTGCCCAGCAGGCTTCAATCTGCCCCAATTCTAAGGAAAGGGTCAGATGAGGTGGTATTTTTTTTTCAGGATTAATTAACTTTATTTTCTTGTATGTAAACACGATGTTGTAGCCACAGCTGGAGCCTGGGTCCTCTGGACGCAGACTCTGGTGCACACTGATGAGGTGGTCAGTGAATTCCTACTAGGGAGACTTGGTGAATACAGTATCCTTCCAGAGGTGAGGGTCAGGCAGAGGTCTTAGAGATGGCATCAAAGGTGGCCTTGGGGAAGTTGCCAGGATGGTAGTGCAGCCCCTGGCTGAGGTGTAGCCGTCATGATACCAGCCAACATAAGCAGCTTCTTGGGCACAGGCGCCAAGACAATGGCAGTACCCCCGGAAGTGGGGATGAGGTGCACCAGACAGATCCACAGTGGCCTGTCACCTGCAAGGGACGGTGTGGGGCTTGCCGATCCCATCCCCCAGTAGCCTCTGTGCACGGGGACGATGGGGAGCTTGGCCAGGGTGATGGCCCCACGGACGGCAGTGGCCGCCTCCTTGGAGCACTTAACACCCACATGAATGTGGCCATTGTGTAGTCCTGATGGCAACAAAGGCCTTGAACCTGGTGCGCTGGCCGGCGCGGGTGTGCTTCTGCACCTCTCTCAAAGACTGTGTCTTTGAGACACAGTCTTTGAGACACAGTTTCTTCAAAACTGTGTCCTTGAGAGAGGCCCCCAGAGAAAAGTCAATGATCTCAGATTCTTTGATGAGCAGGGAGAAGAGGTACATCTCCTCTGGGGACTTGATCTTCCTGTCCTTGACCAGGCAGCCCAGCTTGGTGACAGGTGTTCACTCCTTATCCTCAGCCTTCCCTCCTCAAGCTCCATGGCCTCAGCCCCGGCCCCGTCCACAGCCACGACCCCAGCCCCCATGCCACTGCTGAAACCTCCACGGTTCCCCATCCCAGGGCCTCTGGGGCCTCCAGGTCCCCCCCAACACAGCACCAGCGTCATCTGACATTCGATGTTTTCTCGGAGAAGAAGCTGGGGTGGTATTTTTGTAGGAATAGAGACTAGAGCTCTGAAAGCCGAGGCCTCCCGAGTTTTGTGCCTTGGGGGGGCTGGCCCTTTAACAGGGCAGGTGAGGTCAGAGCCAGCTGCCCTCCTGGACCGGCTGGTTGACAGGGGCGGAGCAGTTGCAGGGCCTCACCTGCCCCCAAGGCTCACCTCTCCCCCGGTGGCTCTGACCTCGGGAATCTCTTCTCCAAGCCTCTCTTGAAGCTGCCTGGGTGACCAAGACCAGTTTGGCCAACATGGTGAAACGCTCTCTACTAAAAATACAAAAGTTAGCTGGGCATGGTGGTGCATGCCTATGATCCCAGCTACTTGGGAGGCTGAGGCAGGAGAATCGCTCGTACCCAGGAGTGGAGGTTGCGGTGAGCCGAGATCACACTACTGCACTCCAGCCTGGGTGACAGCAATTCTGTTTAAAAATAAAATCGCCGGGTACAGCGGCTCACACCTGTAATCCCAGCACTTTGGAGGCCGAGGCGGGCAGACCATGAGGTCAGTAGTTCAAAACCAGACTGCCCAAACATGGTGAAGCCCCGTCTCTATTAAAAAATACAAAAATTAGCTGGGTGGCTCGTGCCTGTAATCCCAGCTACTTGGGAGGCTGACGTAGGAGAATTGCTTGAACCAGGACCCGGGAGGCAGAGTTTGTAGTGAGCCAAGATGGTGCCACAGCACTCCAGCCTGGGCTACAGAGCGAGACTCCATCTCAAAAAAAAAAAAAAAATCAGTAAACCCACACCTACTGTCCCTTGGCTGGAGACGGCTGGGGGTCAGAGAGGGAGGTCGAGGCTGGGGCGGGGGTGGGTGCTTCACGGGGTAACGGGGGTCAGGACAGGCCCAGTCGGGCTTCAGCAGGTACGTCTCCGATGAATCTCGGGTGAGCGTTCATCCAGGGAAGCATTTTCATTGTAACGCAAGGGCTCTGTAACCAAATAGCCGGCACAGTGTCCTGTTTTGGTGTTTTAATAAATAGAAGAGTCCCGTTGAGATGTTCGAAACCCTGCCCGTGTGGAGGAGACAGCCGGTGCGGGTGCTGGCCCTTTTTGGGGACATCAAGAAAGGTGAGTCAGAGACATTCCGAAGACACGTGGGAAGACGCCTCCACACACCTGGCTGCCTCGCAGGCCACCCACCCCGGGTCCCCACATCCTCCTCCACCTAAACCTCCACGTACCTGACTGCCTCAAAGGCCACCCACACCTGGGCCCCCACATCCTCCCCCACCTAAACCTCCACCCACTCCTGGGGTCCCCACACCCTCCTCCACCCAAACCTCTGTCCCCAGGCTGGCTGCCTGCTGGTGTCCTCTACCCTGGGCCTGTGCTGACGCCTTTGGAAATCCCACTTGTCTTCTGGCCCTGTAAGCGAGGCAGAATCCCTGAAGACACTCCCTCACCTCTGGCCACCTCTGTTAGGGATGGGTCCCCCTGGGACATCTGCTAATGCCACAGTGTCTCAGAGCAGCCTCACTCAGGGGTGTGTATCTGCCCCGTGCAGCTGACTGGGAGCCTGATCCCACAGCTCCCATAGCCTGCCCCAGGCCTTGCTGCCCAGGCGGGGCTGAGGAAGCCCGGGCTTCCTTCAAGGTGGGTCCAGGGCTCTGTAGCTCACACCAGCTGCACAGTGGAGTGGACTCCACCACTCTGGATTCATAACCAGCGGTGACATAGCATCCCAAAAATGCCTGGTGCTCTAATGCAGTGATTGACTTTTTTGGGGGAGGGGGAGGAGTCTCTCTCTGTTACCAGGCTAGAGTGCAGTGGCGAAATCTCAGCTCACTGCAACCTCCACCTCCCCAGTTCAAGTGATGATTCCTCTGCCTCAGCTAGAGTAGCTGGGACTACAGGTGTGCACCACCACGCCCGGCTAATTTTTGTATTTTTAGCAGAGACAGAGTTTCACCATGTTGGCCAGGCTGGCCTTGAACTCCTGACCTTAGGTGATCCACCCACCTCTGCCTCCCAAAGTGCTGGGATTACAGGCGTGAGCCACCACACTGGCCTCAGTTCTTGACATTCTTAAATCAATACTTGGTGATGTCTGCTTGTTTAGCTCATCATGAGACAAAACCTCCGTCCTAAGTCCTCCTGCCACATCACCAAAACGATAAAGTCGGGCCGGCTCGGTGGCTCACGCCTGTAATCCCAACACTTTGGGGCGCTGAGGCAGGCGGATCAACTTGAGATCAGGAGTTGGAGACCAGCCTGACCAACACGTTGAAAACCCATCTCTATAAATAAACAAAA